CGGTAATCTATACACATCCTAAGGGAACCATCTTTTTTTCTCACAAACAAGACCGGAGCTCCCCAAGGTGAGATATTTGGTCGTATGAAACCCTTATCTAGAAGATCTTTCAACTGCTCTTTCAACTCTTTCAACTCTGCTGGTGCCATTCTATATGGCGGAATAAAGATAGGACGAGTATCTGGAATGAGGTCTATGCTGAAATCTATTTCTCTCTCAGGAGGAATTCCGGGTAGATCATCAGGAAAAAATTCTGGAAATTCTTTTACTATAGGAACTGACTGAAAAGGAGGTATCTCAACACTAGAGTCATTAACTCGGACTAAGTGATAGATACAACCCTTCGAAACTAACTTTCTCGCCTTAAGGTACGAAATGAAACGACCCTTAGGCACTGCTGAACTACTACTCCACTCCAAGACTGGCTCATTCGGAAACTAAAACTTAACGACTCGAGTTCTACAATCTAATGATGCATAACAGGCATAAAGACAATCCATACCAAGAATAACATCGAAATATACCATGTCTAACTCAACCAAGTCAGTCATGGTGCTCTTGTGATTGATGGAAACGAGACAATCACGATAGATTCTTTTCGCTAGAATAGACTCCCCAACAGGTGTAGAAACACAAAAGGGTTCACAAAGTCTTTCAGGAAGAACATCAAACTTATTTGCAACATAAGGAGCTACAAAATATAAACTTGCTCCTGGGTCTAGCAAAGCATACACATCAAAAGCAAAGACTTTGATCATACTAGTGACAGCATTTGGAAAATACTCTTGCTCATGGCGATTGGTAATTGCATAGAGGCGGTTTGCTCCTCCGCCAGTACTAGAAGTAGCTCCTCTAGGTGCCATCCTGTCAGGGGGAGCAACTGATGAAGCTTGGGCCCTATTGCTCAGATTTTCACTACCTTGTTTGTTCTTAGGGCACTCCTTCATGAAGTGACCCTCTTGCCCACACTTAAAACAACCTGTCTGACCATCACGACATTTCCCTGGGTGGGTTCTACCACACCTAGCATATACAGGGGTTAAACTACCTCATTGTGCCACACTACCTGAAGACTGTGTTGGTCTAGCCTTGAAGTCCTTCGAATTCTGGCCATTATGTTCACCTTTGTATCTGGGTGCAGGTGCCCTAGCAGATGATGGAGCAGGTCCTTTTTGCCTTTGTTGAAAGGACGAATGGTTCACATTACCTTTCTGCTGCCCGGACTCATTACCGGTCTTAGCTCTCATATTTTTGAACTCTTCCCTGTCCCTCAGCTTCTCTTCCTCAACCTGCTGCACATAAACCATCAACCTTGATATGTCCATGTCCCCGATAAGCATTGCAGCCCTACCTTCCTTACTCGAAAGACGAGACAGCCCAGCTACAAACAAGCTTATTCTGCTCATCATGTCCACAACCATCTCCGGAGCATAACGGGAGAGTTGGGTGAACTTCAACCCATACTCATGAACACTCAAAGAATCCTGCTTAAGTGTGAGGAACTCACGTACCTTGGTCTCTTTCAGTTCTCGAGGAAAGAAACGCCCCAAGAAAGCTTCCTCAAAACAGGCCTAACTTGCAGGTGGTGCATTCTCAGCTCTGCCCCATTTTCCACTGGTATAACCAAGTTTTAGCAACATCCTTCAATTGATACATAGCTAGTTCAACTCGCTCAGTATTTGCCACATGCATCACATCAAAAATCTTCTTCAACTCCTCAATGAAGTTCTCTGGATCCTCAGTAGTGCTTGAACCCATGAAACTCGGAGGATTCATCACCAAAAACTCACAAATCCTTGAAGTGTCAGCTCCTTCATGTCGAGCTCCCCTTTGCGGACAAATCTGATTAGTTACAGCTTGACTCAGAATTCTAATTGCCTCTCTGAACTCGGCATTAGAAACTTCCCCTTGTGGTTGCACACCCGGGGCATAAGGTAACTCTTGCTCCTCAACATAACGTCTAGGAAGACGCCCTCTGCCAACTCTTCGTGGAGGCATGATTATCTGAAAACACGCGCAAGCACGAATTAGAAAGAAACTTTTTAGAGATAAACTCTAATGCATGAGATGAGGGTGAAAGAAATGAGAAATCTTCCTAAATGTTGCAGCCTCCTAAATTATAGATGTGGCGCGCTTCACACCGATAACTAGGACTCTACATACACGGCTTCATAGTCTCCCTAGGACTCTTGAACTCTAGCTCTAATACCAAGTTTGTCACGCCCCGAACCTACACCCTGGGCGGGACCGGCACTCGAAGACCATTGCTGGCCCCAAGAGAACCCTTGGCCTGGCTTTCTTAACTCAGCAGAAACCTAACTCAATAGGATAACTCAATGCAATGAAAGGTCATAAAGCAGCCCATCTGATAAAAATCTGGCCAACAAGCAACTCGTTTCTCAAAATAGAATATTTATATATATACATAGATGAGAGACTCAAATACTAAATGACTGACTATCTATGAAGCCTCTACAACACTAAGATGGATGTTGGGACAGACCCCACAACATCCTAATAAAACAAAACTAGGAACACAAAATAACAGAGTCCTCTGGAAAAGCAAAGAGGCTCACCACTGATTCTGGAGTGCTCAGCTGGATCAACGGAGTTCTGCATGCTGATCCTGGGTACCTGCGTCTAAATCGTCATAAGATGCAGGCCAACTGGCATCAGTACATTGAATGTACGAGTATCCGAGCTGGAAAGCTAAACAACAACTTAAGCTTTAAAGGAGTACAAAGGAACTCTTACCTTGGCTCTGTTCAACTCATGAATAATTAAACTCAAATGTAAAGCAATAAGACACATGCAATACATATATAAATCTTGTAAAACAGTGTAAATAACTTAGTTCGTTAATGATTAAAGCAATAACAAACTCAACTTTACTTATATAAAAGTAATATAACTTTAGTGGGAGATTCTTTAACCGACAACCACCACTATGAACCCTAGTGATGATACAACGTTTTACCTCACGTTGCCCAAAGACCATCCTATACCTTATCGTGATATAGGACCTTACATAACTTAGTGGATCCACTAGCTTAACTTACGTGATTATTTAATAAGTATGACCCGTTAAATCCCATGTTTGGCTACATGGTTCTTATGGAGAGTTTAGTTAATATGAACTCGTGTCCCCAATTCGGTGCTCAAGACTACTCCCAAAATATACTTTAGCTCATAAGTGTTTTAAACACATCTTTCTTTAGTTTGAGATATTTGCTCAAAGCTTAGCCCAAAAGCTCTTTTGGAATCAATGTTCCCTTTTCTTTGCTCAAATGTGAAAACATTTATAAACTTCTTTGGGAATACATATTCCCTAATAACTTTTGAGAAATGAACTCAACTCTATACTTTTGGCTTAACTTGAAACTTAACCCTTAAAACGAATCTTCTGTCAAAAGAAGCAAACTTGAACCAAAAGGTGAATTGGGGATCTTTATTGGTTATTCATCACAAGCCAAGGGTTATAGAGTTTTCAACTTGCAAACAAAAAGTATTTCAATCCGAAGAGATGTAGTCGTGGATGAGCATGCTTATTGGAACTGGGATAAGGAGCAAATTGAGAAAGATAATGCAGTTTTTCAGAACATGAGTCCGCTGCCTGAAATCAAATCATTTGGGTCTGAAACTCTGGAAGAAGACGAAGAATCAGACGGGGAATCCTCACTTGATCCGCCAATTTTGAAGACAACGTCTCTTTCTGAGATATATGAAAGACGTAATGTTGCAATCTCGGAACCAATTAGCTATCAAGAAGCATCAAGACATGAAGTTTGGATTGAAGTCGTGAAGGAGGAGATTGGTATGATAGAAAAGAATGATACTTGGAAGTTGGTTGATAAACCCAAAAACAGAAATATGATCAGGGTGAAGTGGGTTTATAGAACCAAACTTAATCCAGATAGCTCAGTTTATAAATACAAATCAAGGCTTGTTGTGAAAGTTTATGCGCAAGTTGCAGGTCTGGATTATGGGGACACGTTTGCACCTGTTGCACGACATGATACAATAAGGCTGTTATTTGCTTTGGCAGCTCAATCAAATTGGAAGCTGTATCATTTGGATGTGAAACCTACATTCTTAAATGGACTATTACATGAGGAGATATATGTTGATCAACCAGAAGGCTTTCAAGTTGCAGGAATGGAGGATTAAGTCTACCGACTTCATAAGGCATTGTATGGATTAAAGCAGGCTCCTCGAGCATGGTACAGTAAGATTGATGATCATCTCATTCATTGTGGCTTCAAGATAAGTGAAAATGAAGCCACTTTATATGTGAAGAAGGCTAAAGGAGGAGATGTGTTTGTGGTGTCACTCTATTGATGATCTTCTGGTAACAGGAAGCAATAAAGCAATGGTTAATCAGTTCATGCAAGAAATGGAGACCAAGTTTGAAATGTCAAATTTGGGTGAAATGAGTTACTTTCTGGAAATGGAGATTCATCAAGCTACTGCTAGAATCTTTATTTCTCAGAGAAAATATGCATGGGATATTCTTAAAAGGTTCAAGATGGAGAGGTGCAAGTCTACACCAACTCCACTGGTACACAATGAAAAGATTTCGAAGTTTGAAGGAGGTGACAGGGCTGATCCAACAATTTATAGAAGTCTGATTGGTAGTTTGCTGTATTTGACAGCAACAAGACCCGATCTCATGTTCGCGGCAAGTTTACTGTCGAGGTTTATGCAATCTCGATGTCAAGTTCATCTTGGTGTTGCTAAACGAACTTTGAGATATATTGAAGGAACTGCTGATTATGGTATTTGGTTTAAAAGGGAAGAGCAAGGGCAACTGATGGGTTATTCAGATAGTGATTGGGCAGGAAGCGTTGATGATATGAAAAGCACTTCTGGATATGCTTTTACACTTGGTTCAGGCATGTTCTCATGGAATTCAAAGAAGCAAGAGGTGGTAACTCAATCTCCTACAGAAGCAGAATGCATCGCCGCTGCTGGTACAACTAATCAAGCTCTATGGTTAAGAAAGATTCCACGTGATCTGGAGCAAAATGACATTGAAGCTACTGTCATTAAGGTTGACAACAAGTCAGCAATATCTATGGCCAAAAATCCAGTGCAACATGGTCGTAGCAAGCATATAAATGTGAAGTTTCACGCTATCAGACAAGCAGAGAAGGATGGCGAAATTCAACTTGTTCATTGCAGCTCAGATCAGCAGATTGCAGACATCATGACCAAGGCTCTTCCTAAGGGGAAATTTGAAGTTCTAAGGGCTAAGTTGGGAGTATCCAAGAAAAATCTCAAGGAGGAGTGTTAGAAAATGAGATATTTCTAGATGTCTTTTGTTTAATTGTTATTTTCTTAAATATTATGTTAAGTATGTAAAGGAAAGGTAGTCCTTGTTTTATGGAATATGTTTTGTAAGAAAGTCAATAGTGGTTGGATATGTATGGTCCTCTACTAACTTTGGAAAAGCTTATGTAGATATATGTGTGTATGCTTTTAAAAAGCTGAATATATGAATGAAGATTTCCTGCTGCTGAACCTGTTAAGAAAGATTCTACGTGATCTGGAGCAAAATGACATTGAAGCTACTGTCATTAAGGTTGACAACAAGTCAGCAATATCTATGGCCAAAAATCCAGTGCAACATGGTCGTAGCAAGCATATAAATGTGAAGTTTCACGCTATCAGGCAAGCAGAGAAGGATGGTGAAGTTCAACTTGTTCATTGCAGCTCAGATCAGCAAATTGCAGACATCATGACCAAGGCTCTTCCTAAGGGGAAATTTGAAGTTCTAAGGGCTAAGTTGGGAGTATCCAAGAAAAATCTCAAGGAGGAGTGTTAGAAAATGAGATATTTCTAGATGTCTTTTGTTTAATTGTTATTTTCTTAAATATTATGTTAAGTATGTAAAGGAAAGGTAGTCCTTGTTTTATGGAATATGTTTTGTAAGAAAGTCAATAGTGGTTGGATATGTATGGTCCTCTACTAACTTTGGAAAAGCTTATGTAGATATATGTGTGTATGCTTTTAAAAAGCTGAATATATGAATGAAGATTTCCTGCTGCTGAACCTTATCTTTTTTTTTCTCTAAAAGTTTCAAATCCTAACAATTGTAACTCGCCAAAAAACCACATGACGAGAAATATATATTCGGCCACTAGGGACATGTAAACATTTATTGCCCTTATGATTTCCACTATACCCTAAGAAAATACATTTTAAGAAGATAAAGGCTAGTTTGTGAGAGTTGTAAGGACAAAGGAATGGGAAGCACGTGCAGCCAAAAACTTTCATGAAATGATAATCAAGAACCTTTTTTGAACAACTTCTCATAATCTGAAACATATTATTGAGCGAGGATGATGGGCAACGATTTATAGTGTAAACTGTTGTAGCAAACGCATGATCCCAAAAGGTGTGAGGAAGGGAGGCATGCATGGGCGAGAAATGTTAAAACCCATTTCAACAATATGACAATGCTTCCTCTCGGCATTACCATTTTGTTCATGAGTATGGGGACAAGATAAGTGATGAACGATCCCCTCTTGAGCAAAAAAGGTAGATAACTTCCTATATTCGCTACCCCAATCAGATTGTACCACTTTTATATAACAGTCAAAGAATTTCTCAACATGAGTTTTAAAGCTCAAAAAAATTGTATAAACCTCATTTTTGGAACTCATAGGAAATAACCATGTAAATTTGCTAAACTCATCAATGAAGGAAACATAATAACGAAATTTATTACTAGCCAATTGTGGAGTAGGATCTCATACATTAGTGTAGATCAATTCAAGAGGATAAGTAGCACTAGAGTTGGAAACAAAAAATGAAAACTACTCTTGTCGTATTGGCAAGAACAAACACTAGACCGAGAACTCGATATGTCTGGTAAAGAAAGACTCCTACTAATACTATTGACTACTCGTAGAGACGAGTGACCTAAACGACTATGCCATAAATCAAATAAGACTTGGACACATGGAAAGCTTGTGATTGATTAGAGGGAGTGGGCTAGCTGATTAACTGGGAAGCAAGGAGGCGATAAAGGTCATGCTCAAGAGTCCCGCGCAGTAGTACTTTCCCTGTTGCCCGATCCTTCACAAGACAAAAATGAGGGTGAAACTCAAATATAACATCATTATCAAATGTAAATTTTTCTAGGCTAAGCAATTTTTTGATAATTTCAGGCACCAATAATACATTAGATAGATGTAAAAGTCAATTAACTGTAGGTAAGATAGAATGACCAAAATGAGATATTCTCAAACCTTTGCCATACCAACATTAATTTGATCACTTCCCATATACTCTCCTCTTATCGCCATGTTCTGCATATTATTAGTTAAATGATGAGTAGCTCCAGAATCTGGTACCATTTCGAGTCTCCAACAATGGAAGGTTGAGCAATGAGAGCATTCATGTGTGACTATTGGATGGAGCATGATAGGCATGGTGAAACAATGGTAGCAATTAAGAGCCGAGTGTCCAAACTTGTTGCAAACTTGACATTGATTTTGGTTGGATAAGTTAGTGTTGTGACCCCGACCCCGACCTCATCCTCGTCTAGACCTGCCACCATAAGCCTGATTATTATTTTAATTAGTTTGCTTCTTAAATGAATTATCATTGTTAGGATTATTGGATTGTCTAGTAGACAAGTTGGCTTGGCTACCTAATCCTTGTTCCAAACTTGTCATCTGTTCCAAATGATACTTATGACTTAAAAGAAAGCCATGAAGATCAAACAATAAAATTAAATCCGCTCTAGCAATGAACGAGACAACCACATCATCATATTCTTGTCCAAGTCCTCCAAGAATATATAAGACAAGATCATCATCAGTGACGAGGTGTGTCGCAACTACGAGATTATCGGCACAAGTCTTCATCTTTTGAAGATATTCTACCATTGATGAGTTTCCATTCTTTGTGGTTTGTAGTTGCAATCTTAGTTGCATTAACCTAGACTTGGATTGTGACGTAAACATTGTTGCAAGAGACTTCCAACAGTCTGAGATGTCGTATAATCGACTATTTGGGATAAAATCCCTTCGTTGAGGATTGAGAGAATCCAGCTCAATAAAATTTAGTCTTGTTTGATCCATAAATTGTACGTTGGATTGATAACCGCGCCATTTGAGGTTGCTTTGAAAGAGCTATTTGGAATTACCTTGGGAGGGCACATGTGTGTACCTTCGAAAGACTGAGTGACGTTGGTTGCGAATGAATTATGGGAAGCGGTTTGTGAGGTGATAGTGGTAATTGAAGGAAGTGCCATATTGAGATGTGAGTCTTCGTAGGGCTCTGATACCATGTAGAGATTTTATGAATATAATAAATATTGATTGTATTTCACAAAAGAGTTCTTCCTCAATATATTAAGGATGTTACACAAAGTGTAGTTGAATATAATAACTCTCCAAGAGATGAACTATAAACATGAATTCTAATAGAACCCAATTACTACATAAATGTGTAACCTCACTATTATGATGTCCTAACAATATCATGTGTATGTAACTTGACTTCAATGGTTTATATATGAAGTGCTTTTCATATTTTGAAGTACCCTGTTTTAATATATTTTTCATACATTATACGGAAAAAAACATGTATTGCCAAAATGCATACAAAATTGAAAACTTCATATCAAACACACACCAAAAATAACCACAAGTGAGGTATATAATGTGTATAACTGGACTTAAATAGTTGAATACACAATATAAACACAATTCAGTTTGTATATACAATGAGTATAAATCTAGAATTTTAAGGCACAACTGATATGAATGCAAAATTTTAATCTTCATACCAAAATCATACCAACTTATAATTAATATTTTGTTTATATAATATGTGTGTACAAGAGTGTGTTTAAAACAGAAACAAATGACACATCTCAAAAAATCATACTAAATTTAAACCAATAACAAACACAGATTGCATGCTTCATGCCAAATTAATACAAAAAAAGCATACAGTCATTTTGTGTATTCCATGAGTATAAATCTAGAATTTCAAGGTACAACTAAAATGAATGCAAAATTGCAATCTTCATACCAAAATCAAACCAACTTATAACTAATATTTTGTATACATAATCTATATGTAAATAGACTTAAATTGTTCAATAAATAATAGGAAAATAATATAATCAACTAATATTGAAAATAATTATATCTAATTTAGATAACTAATTCATTGTTCAATTAAAAAATCAATCAAAATTAATAACACTACATTCGCAGTTTATGCAAAACACAATAAAAGCAATACGGAGAAAGGCCTAAAATTCCCCTCAACTATTTGAATTGGTATAAAACTATCCCCATCCAATTTTCGACCCTCAAATAACCCTGATGTCAATATTTTGGCTCAAAAATATCTTTGTTTGTAATGGCCCACACTCATAAGTTGGATGGAAGGTAAATTTATATCAAATCTCATAGTTTAAGGGCATCTTAGACTCTTCTCCATTAAAAAAAAATTAAATTACTTAATATATGGGCTCATATAATTTGCCTGATTTTGGGTTCCATTGTAAATAAAAAATAAAAAAATTAATCATGTACTAATGAGAAATAAAACAATGATGAAAATAGAAGAAAAATAACGATGACATTCATTTATAAATAATTAGTTCAAAAGAAGATGATTTAATTGAGCAACTATATACATATACTACTTTTTTGCTTTTGTATGTACCAAAAATTAAAAATAAAAGAATAAGAAAACTCTTTTTTCCTATCCACACCATGAAAATAATACAAATTAAAAGAATATGAACATATAAGTTCATTTCAAGTTTGAATTCTTGATATCCTAATTAAGAATAATAGATTAGAAATAGAGGGAATGAACTAGACAATTGGATAATTGATAGAAAATTTTAATTTATATCAATAAAAATAATAATCTTTTCTTAGATGATAATCAAATGGGTAGAGTATGAATTTCAGTTAGATCCCCAGTTATGAGATTGGTTATAATAATTTGGGATTTGATTTGAAATAGGTCAATCGGAAGATATCATGAGATTAATATTTTTAAAATATTATTTTTTAGCATATCACGTCAAAATATGAATCATATAACGTTTTTATTATTTATATGAGAAGGACTTAAATTTGGACCAATCATATTAGACATCATAATAAATAAATATTTAATACTTTATGGGAGCTGTTAAAAATAAGGGTAAATATGAGCCGAAGGTTTATATCGAGGGTGTTTTTGAGCCAAAAGGTTTACGTCAAGGGTATTTAGGGGCCAAAAGGTGAATAAAGAGTAGTTTTGTACCAACTC